TACCCGTGACAAGTTAAAACTTTCGCTCATCAGATCTGATAACAGTGTGTATTTCAATTATATCGAACAATTGTATCAAAAGATGTTAGTGGAATTAAAAAACTTTCATGATCCGATTAGTCAACAAAAATATACTAAACTTACAATTGATCTTGATCGGTCAAAAGTATATTTTATCGACAAAAATATCCTCTAAACAAACTAGAAATGAAAGTTTTGTTTGAGTCCCGTCGTCATGTGAGCGGTAAAGTAAAGTTTAGTCTCTATCACCATGATAATGAAATATTTTTAATATCATCAGTTGAAACATTAATCATTGGTGATGAGATATAATATCACTTACTTGTGAACTGACCTGCACCGTTCTGGTACAATTATCAGCCTTTTCATCTACTGAGAGAGGTAATTACCTTATACAATTATCAGCCTTTTCATCTACTGAGAGAGGTAATTACCTTATACAATTATATCTGCGCTAGAATCAGCCTTTAGTTTTTGTGGGTGGGTGAAAAACTTTGGTGTTTTAAGGTCTTAAGAGAAGTAATTTGTATTTGTTTTGAGGATGGGGATAACTTTTGCGCCAGAATCAGCCTTTTCATCTACTACTCTTATATCTGACTATTTTAAATCCACAGTTGGAACATTTTCTGTCTGTGCTCTTTAAACCTTGCATATTTATTTCCTTGTCACATAAGTTCAGATCACTCTTTGCAACTATTGAAGGCAGCATCAGGCAATGGAGTCTCTTTGCTGCCAGAAAGTTGTTGATGGCATCCTTCTTCAGTGTTGTATTTGCACAGTACTCACAGCAGCTGTTATTCATTTTGTTTTATGTCAAATGAAGGTGTCAATCCTTTGATCTCCATGAGCAGACATTTTGCAAATCTTGAAAATGATATCTCTATCTTTGTCTCCGCCACAAAATGCATATTATGAATCTTTTAGTGTTTTTTAATATATTTTTCATATATCTTCTCGGAGCATGGGTCCTGCTGGAGAGAGATCACATCTGGAAATGTCATCTCGTTTTCGTGACACTGCTTGACATATTGCGCTCAAATTTTTCTTACACTTGTTATATAATGGAAACTGAGATCATACTTCTTTCGTATGTAGCTGATGATTAATCCTTTGTTAGCCTTCAACAGATGTTTTGCCAAGGCAGCTCGTTTGACATTGTAAGCAGAAGTCTTACACGTCTTTTGTTGTTGATAGCTCTTAATAACTTCATCCAGAACTGCAGTTGAAAAATCAATTTCGCGTCTTGCCGATCTTGGGTGTATGTTTGTTTTAACTGAAGAGCCTATTTTGTATGGAAAAGTAAACCGCAATGTCACAACAACTTCCTCAATCACTTCTGCAAACAGCTATGGATCTTTGAGTAGTTTCCTTATTAACTAAAGTGTTCTGCCTGTTGAAGTTTCTTCCTAGTGATCCACCCTCTCTTCTGCAGTTACTGTGCAAATCCAGCCCTATATCCCTGTTGCCTAAGCCGGTATTTCTCTCATCTTTCTTGTTCACATGCTCTTGTCTGAGTTTTTGGATCTTGAAGTGGTCTTCCCATTTATTTTTGCCGTTTCTTCCATTCAGCTATCCTACTTGTTGTTTTCGCTCAAGCTCTTTTTGCTCAGGTGTCAGACTTGCCTAGTAATTTTTCAGACGCTGAATCTCCCATTCCCGGGAAGTATTCTATCGAAGGAGATCTTTTAAATGTTGCTTGTACCTTTGATTCTTTTTCACTCCAGCTGACAACTTAGGTTCGTTTGCAGATTCACATGTTGTTAAACTTAGTTCAGTCTGTATTGGCTCAAAAAGCTTTTTTTTTCAGCAAGTCAATCTGATTTTCTTATCATGTTAATAACTATCCTGAAACTGTAACAATATATAAAGTAATATAATTGGAGTTAACAAACATATTGACCTAACTGAAAATTAAGTGTGTCATATTTTTTAAAAGAAATACGAATTCAACATTTATTGACCTTTGGTCAATTGATATAGCTCTATGTCAATTCCACTTTCATGTCCTTTTCAAAATTTAAAATCATTTCAAATTACTACTTATAGTAATTTCTATTTACTATATTGATGAAATTACCAGAGAATTTATTAGTCTTGCGAATAATTTACTGTTTCAGAAACAAAATAATTTATATTTACTATATTGATGAAATTGCCAGAGAATTTATTAGACTTTCGAATAATTTACTGTTTCAGAAACAAAATATAAGCACAAGACAATACGAGAGTAACAAGTAATTTATAAAACTTATAAATATTACAATGTTGTCTCAATGCACTGAACATATCACCAATCTTGTACAAGAGTTTATTATGTAATTCAAAGTTATCATAAGTATGAAATGAGGGCAGCCAATCAGAAATAACCAAGCTTGCTTAAAAATCATGCTGCTTCTGGGTTGCAAGGAAGAAATTACGGGCTGTTGCCAATGTCTATGGTCCAAAGTTATCTCAAGTAACACATGTGACACCAACCTCTACAAATCCAACATAGAATAAAATAAATAAACAATAAACAGTATAAACAGAATTTAAATGTTGATGATTACCTGTAATTTTGAACAATATTTAAAAAAGTTAGCTGGTTAAATTAATGAGTAATGATTCAATCTTCTGCCCAGCGTCTTGTCTGTACATAAACCGGATATGGGTGACACGTCATACATTTTTGTTAAACACCTCGCTTTATGCGATGGAACTCTGTTGTAAGCGTTTCAGTTTCGTGTGTTTATATATTTAGCTTTTATCAAACAGTATCTGCATCACTAATACAGCCCACCATACCACATGTGGAAATTGGAATTTGGTAATGACTTTACATTACAAAGTGACACGGTTGGTTAAAACCGATCAAATTTTGGCAGGTTTGACTGGTTTTCAGAAAATAAACTTTACAAAAATGAAAATGCGGTTGTTAATTTCATGTTTGTGATAAAATACAAATTGCAGGATTCTGTTTCTGAGCTGCAGGCAAGTAAACATACTCCCAGAAAATGTGACATGTACATGTACGAACAAGACGGTTAATTCTGAGTTCCAAAATATAACAAAAGCACAAAAATTTTGGTTTAAAGTCGCTTATATTTTTATTGGCATTATCTTATAAACTGAAATAAATAAAATAATACATGTGGCATTGCCAGCATTAATCTTTGGCATCGGTTGCTGCACGTAAATTTTTGTCGCCTTTTCTGCCAATTTCATCACTTTTAGTCCAATTATTTAGCAAGCAGAAAATGAAAAGTGCCTGATATTGATGATATGGATTCTTTAGGGTACATTTGGTATACTGAGTCACTGCAATTCCATAAATATCCCAGAAAAAAAACAACACAGAAAATGAATTTGGACCATACCATGCAGTCACCAATTCCAGAGAACTACTCATACTAGATCTAGCCCATAATGAAAAAAATTGCAACAATTTTCTTAGAGCCTTTAACTTATTCTTCTCCTAGGTCGGAATGCCTTTTTCGTGAAACATGTCTGCGTATCTCAAACATTCATCCAAACTTTATTCAAAATTCATAGTTACATATGTTGCAGAAAGCATTGTCTTCATTTTACTGGCTTTATAAATTCATACTCCTCAGTGTATTCCTTACGAAAACATTGAGAGCGTTTTTAATGCAAATTTTGAATCATTTTGATCAGTATCACATTGCATCTTAGAAGCCATGAAATTATTTGGTCCAGAATCAAAAACAACTCATTGTAAACAGAATTTCAATGGCTATTTTAAGCCATCGCACATTTGATAATTTTCTGTTACGAAAGGTGATAACATTTTATGACATGTTTCATCTCCAACGTTGTGGATTTTCAACACTAAATGCGTATTTATGGGATGCAAAGGCACATTTGGGCATTTTGCGGGACAAATATGCAAACTGCAGGATAGTAGGTATGTCAGGTATTAAATCCAGAGCAATTATATGACAGCATCTTGCAAATCAGAATAATTATTTGTCATTATTTGAAAATACATTCACCTGAAGGCAAACTTCAATCTTTTCACTAGCGTGGGTTATCAAAAGTATTTTTAAACAAGTTATTGTTGTGTATGATATTCACATTTGTATTAATATTACTATAGATGCCAAGTAAGACGATTATCATTAAAGGATATCAGTACAAAGGTTATATTTTTACAAAGCAAACCATCTATGGAAGCTTACTTAGTTTTTTAGTGTGCAAATTTGTAAGCTAACTAGGCTTCCTTTTCACCGGTATTCACAGAAATATCGGAAATAAATTGAAACAATGAAACAATTTTTGAAGAGACACAATACAGTACTTTGTGCATGGATATTGATGATTCAAACGATTTGGAGAAAAAAAAATCATTTGATATATTTATGACTGCCCAGAAGAGAAGATGATTTCGCAGAAAATATGGCAATTAACGTGACTGAAATTCCAGTGTACTTTGATCTCATACCTGGATGGTATAAGATGGGAGTTGAAAGTGTAAGAATTAGCATGACTGGTGCAAATTTATAAAAAAAAATACAAAACACTTTAGTCCTTCCAGTTTCCACTTCAGGGGATGTGTTTCCTCCAACAATAATTTCAAGAAGAAGAAACCTAAAAAGATATTATTCATGCACTACAAGAATGGATCATACGTGTGCAGAATAGTTGGGATGATGCTGTAGTGAATAGAAAAGTTTTATCAAGTACAGTTTTATGCTTTAAAAATACAAAATTTCAGTTAGAGTGATTTTTACGACATGTAATTTTCAAATGATTTAAATTATGTCTGGGACTGCTCCGGTGGCCTAGTGGTGAGAGCATCCGCCTCGGATGCGAGAGTCTGTGGGTTCGATCCCCAGCCGAGTCATACCAAAGACTTGCAAAAAATGGTACTTACAGCTGCCTCGCTTGGCGCTCAGCATTAGGAGGTAAGTGTTAGGACTGGTTGGCCTGGTATCAGGATAATGTGGCTGGGTGGGACATAATGATACATGTCTGCAGCATGATGCCCCAATGCTAGACATCACTATAAACTACCACACTGCAGACATCGTAGCGATATGACTGAAAAATTGTTAAAGTTACGTTAAAAATCTGAATCACACACACACACACACACACACACACACACACACACAAACACACATTTATGACTGGTAAACTAGCTGTGTGACAAAAGATGCAGTGCACAAAAATGTACTTTTTGAATTTATTTATGATGCCCCAAAACAAAGGTGTCGCAACGTATACGGCAAATACGGTACAGACAATTTTTTATAAATAACAACCTCTAGCTTGAAAATGAGTTGTATAGCTGAATGTAAGTAAAAGTATAAAGCTTCCATGTTCTTGCACACAAATATTAATATTAATGTCACTGTATGAATTGTTTACTAGTCATTACAGAGTGATATATTTATTTCATGATCTTTATATAATTATTTGGCAGCATATAATTGATGTTACAACACACTTTGATGCAGTCCCCTGAGCTCTAAAACTGTTAAAAATTTCACCAACATATCTCCAAAAGAGTTGCTGAAATTTAACTGCCGTAATAAATTTCCATTTCGTTATGACAGCCACTCAAAAATCTATTAACATAACAATTCATAAACAATAACATTTCATCTGAAATGTTAAGAAGCCACTTTTTCATGGGTTTGCAATCATATTTGGTGGAATATTTATATCAACATGGTGGTATCTCACATACAAGTCTGAGCTCTGGATGCCCATGTTCCATTATGTTAAAGATCAAATGAAGCTTGTCACATGTTTGTCCATGCTGTAACTTTCAATGACACAAGAATATTTGGTGGTGTTGGTCATATGAAAAAGGCCATTTGTTGCATAGTCTCAAACCCAGAAACCTTGAAGGTCATTGTCATAGCTGTAGTTCAGAGTGGTTAAATGCAGTCTTGTCCATGTTGCAACTTTTCAATGGCTTGTGCATTTTGAAAACTATTTACTCATGTGAACATATTAAAGATCACACATTTCAGTGGTCTGAATTGAAATCATGAGGCCTTGTTACTCCAAATTAAACGAAGTTACAGCCTTAGCCATAATTTCAGTATCTACTACAAGAGTGGCTGGGGAGATAAAAGTTTTTACGAAGACTAATTTCTTGCTTTTATGAATTAAATACGGGAAATAGAATTTAAATATTTTTTTCTTTTTTTCTAAGTCATATCCAAATGAAAATGGAAGGGAACAATGAATTATCTTCCTTGGAGGTGTCCACAGGGAAATAACACAAATTATACATGTACATATACATCCAGTTATTTTTCTTTTTCAACTTGAATTATTCATGTAAAAAGACATAAAGAGCAATGACTAAAATCTGTAAAAGGGGTATGACCTTAATTTCCAAGCCTTCTTTTTGTAGGGGTGTATAAACGTAATGTAAATTGTTGCTTGTATTTCTTTGCCAGATTGGAATAAGTCACATATTTAGCAGGGATTTAGAAATTTATCTGAAAACATAAAGCAGTTCCAAGGATAAAATATGTTGTTGACTTGTTCGGTGATCTCTGATTTTGAAAATACACATATATCATTATTTGTTTGTAAGATAAGCAACGCACATCAAAGTGACTGGCAGTTTGGCATTAAGCTGCAATTAATTTCATAGTTTGGCTTTTATGGCTTTAATGAAATTTCATATATTTAAAACTGAAAATGTTCTGTTATCAGAGAATGTGCACACAAATTAATTTTACTCCTGCTGACACTTTAGGAGGTTAAAAATTCATAATTTAGATGGAGCTGATTCCATGGCTAAGCTGCTGCATCAAGTTTTCAAAGCTCCACAGAAGATGACTAAAACAAATTTTGTTTCCCTAACCATTTTTGTTTAAATCTAGAAGGTCTGTGAAGATAGTAGTATTGGTCTGCAGGCTGTTTTCAATGTTTCAAAAGTTTTTTTATGAATGTCAGAACGTGAAGGATAAGAAACAATATAAAAAAAGAAATATCAACTATTTCTTTTCATGTTAAATATTTTCCTCACTTATTTGTCATGATGCTGCTAAATGGTAACAAAATCCTTCAAAATGTGATTCGATGTTGGGAACCAAAGATCTATATTAATGTACAGAGTTTTGCTACAATTAGTAAATTAAAGAGAAATTCTGTACAAAATCGGTTTTTCGTTATTGTTAATGCCTGACTGAAAGAGTGTTTATCTTTCAGATCCAGTGCCAAATGACATTTTCGTGACTGAGAGGAACATGGTTAAGCTGCACTAAAAGCCATATACCATATATAGATTGAAGAATTACACAGAGAATGTGAAATCTATTAATTATGTTTAAGATCAAACAGAATTCTTCAGTTCTCAGCAGCAATAATTTTCAAGAATCACACACACACACACACACACACACACACACATAGATATATATATATATATATATATATATATATATATATATATATATATATATATATATATATATATATATATATATATATGGCATGTAGAATGAATATACAATGTGAAAAAGAAATAAACTCGCATAAGAATGTGATACACTTTCTCAGGATTCATTAAATATCAATAAAGTTTCTCACCAAACTATCATCAACTGATGTTGTGGAAGGTACAGCTGATTTTGTTGATTTGCTCCTTGCAAGGAGTTCAACTTATAACTGTTTTAAATACGTAAATTTATTAAACTGTTTTCATTACCTGCACTATTTTCGAAATTTTGAAACTTAAGCAAAATTTCATAATTGTTCTGTAACTATCATACTGTTTATGTGAATCAAAATAGGTATACCCTCTCCACCTTGCTGTACTTTTAAACCGTATTTGTTACATTGCACCTAATAAAAGTGTAAATTTTAAACAATTAGCAAAGATACCACAGAGGGCCTGAAATCACATGGTTTTATAGAAATATGAACAGCACAATGCCAAGATATCTATGTTGGTTGAAATATTTCTTTAAAATTATCTTTAAATACATAAATATGTAATGGTTATAAAAGTTGTTTTCAGGTTTCTAAAATATAAATCTATATCCTCACCGAACTTGCAAATATTTTGTACTTATTACTCTAGTAGTAGAAGACATGCTGACTTTGTTGCAGACTCACAATACCCAAATTGTAAAACTAGTGCAATAGGAAACGTTTGCAGTGGGAAGGCCTTATCTGCCACTGTTGGCTATGCAGTCTATATTTTTTATAAGCAATATTTTAAGACATTCAAGTTCAACCAGTTACTGTACATCGCATGCACTGACCAATCAGTGTAATTTTATTATACTCATGCCTTAACAAAGCTGAATACTTAATCTCTGAGCACAGTAATTCTTTTTAAAAATATATCGCAAAAAAATCATAAATGTTAAATGTTTGTAATAAATTATATATATATATATATATATATATATATATATATATATATATATATATATATATATATATATATATATATATATATATATACTTTCTACATTGAATTTTAACTCTGCTGAGTTCTGCAAGTTCTCATGTTGTGGTTACTTCCTCTCACCCCGTTTATAAATCCCGTAATAAGTTTCCTACCCCCCACCACATCAGATACTTAATTTAGAGGTTTGTGACTGTCTAGTATTGTACAAATACATGATAACTTGTTGGCGATAGCAAAATATTTGCAGTGAAAAACGCAAGGTAATATTTATCATTAGGCTAATGAAAATATATAGTAACAATGTTAAATACTAATCAAGTTAATAGACACCTTGAGTGGCTACTCAAGAAAAACGGCTATTTGAAATAACAAAAATTTGAAATAGAACAAATGTTAAACTTATATCGATACAACGAAAACACTGATGCGGATAAGATGGTAATATCCCGAATATTGAAAGCACGTGACTAATATCTCGTTTATGAGTTTAAATCTCGTTCGGTTCGGTAGTAAAAACGGAGCTCAAAATTATCAGCGGCGTCACTATTGAGGAACCGCAGATTGTAGTTTAGTAGCTCTCATGTTTGAGTTAAGATCTCGTTTGGTAGTAAAGCCAAAGTTCAAAATTATCAGCGGCGTTACTGTTAACGTAGCACTCACCAGCTTTTATGTACTTTTGAGAGCGTGATGTATGTAAGGTGAAGTTGTTTGCATTTTAAACATGCAGATTGGAGAGAATATGTACATACCTATATGCTACTTTCATGTAATGTGGCTGAAATTTCTTTGGATATTTTACTTTTGGAAATTTTAAATGATCTTAGCAAACTACTAACTAAAATGATTGCTCCCTTGTGCACCAAACATCACCCTGAATTTGTCTAACGTACACTATCCTTGGCAGCTATTAAAATAGGGAAAATTAATTTTGCCAAACTAGACAATAACAACTTCTAAAAGTGCTATGAAAGAATTACCAAATACATAAAATGTAATAAAAAGTTATCGGCTATTATTTTTTACAATTTATCCCTAAAGTTCGAGAAATGAAAATGAGCAAGTAGAGCTAGCACTTTTTTGAAAGATGCACATCTGGAGTAAGGCCAAGCTGTATACTCTATAACCCATATTACACCCATCAATCATACACCAAAATAAATGGAATTAAAAATTATTTAAACAATACCTAAGATATACAAAGTTTTTTTTTAAATAGCCAGTATAACTAGTGATGAAATTCGGGGAAATTCTTTTTTTTTAAAATTCTAACCCTATGCTAAATACGAAACTATAGAGCGCCACCTGAAGTAGTCGGTGATTGTAGTTTGCAGACTGAGCTTCAGATGTTTTGGTGCCGTTAATTGTGATTTTTTAAAGGCATACAACCTAACTAAAAACGAATGAAATGATGAGCTGTATATAATAAGAAGCGGCATTATTGTTGACGGAGCCGGTGA